AAAAAAAAAAAAAGCAATACTTTAGATAATATGCTGTAGCAACTTTGGATTCTGATCCCCCACTGGGAGTTGGTTTTGCTTATGCTTAGTAACCTATCTGCATGAATTCTATAGAGTCTTATCTTTCCTACCTTGCGTGACCATTGATATTTTTACTCATCTTTCTTTTTTAAAAATTGTTTTTGTTTTTAAGCCTGGCTTGCTTTTCCCCATTGCATGTTTTTGTTAGGCTTATCAAAGATTAAATGACAATATGTGGCTGGGTTCAACTCTAGATTCTCTATCCTATTCCGTATATCTATGTCTCTATTTCTGTGCCAGTACCATGCTGTTTTGAATAGGAGTCTTGTAACGTAATCTGAAATCTGGTAACGTGATGTCTTCACATTTGTTTTTATTTCTAAGAACTGTGTTTGCTATTTGGGGGGAGGGGGGCTTCTGCTTCCATATGAATCAAAGTTAGTACTATTTTTCAAGTTCTTCAAAGTGTGACACTGGTGCTTTGATGGGGATTACATTAAATCTATAGATGACTATGAACATTTTAACAATATTGATTCTTCCTAGCCATGTTCTTCCATTTGTTGACATCTGCTATTTCCTTTCTCAAAGTTTCATAACTCTCTTTATAGAGATATTTCACTTCTTTTGTTAAATAAATTCCCAGGTATTTCATCTTCTTTGGTGCTGTTATTTACAAAAATGGAGTCTTTGATTTTATTCTAGGCTTGACGATCGTTAGCTTATACGAAGGCTACTGATTTGTGGGTATTGATTTTGTATCCTGAGACACTGCTATATTCCTTGATCACTTCTTTTTTTTTTTTTTTTTTTTTGAGACAGGAGCCTCAAGCTGTCCCCCTGGGTAGAGTGCCATGGCATTTCAGCTCACAGCAACCTCCCACTCCTGGGCTCAAGCAAGTCTCCTACCTCAGCCTCCCAAGTAGCTGGGACCACAGGCGCCTGCCACAATGCCCGGCTATTTTTTGGTTGCAGTCGTCATTGTTGTTTGGCAGCCCCAGGCTGGATTTGAACCTGCCACCTTGGGTGTACGTGGCTGGCACCTTAGCCACTTGAGCCACAGGCATCGAGCCTCCTTGATCACTTTTAACCCTTATTTAACAAATGGTACATTGGTTATCCACATATAGAAGACTGAACCTGGACCTGCACCCCTCACCATTGACAAAAATTGATTCTCATTGGATAAAAGATTTAAATTTAAGACACAAAACAATAAAAATTCTAGAAGAGTGGGGAAAGCACTTGAAGATATTGACTTGGCAAAAAACTGTATAAGGAAGACCCTCCTCCCAAGTAATTGCAGCAACATCAAGAATAAATAACTGAGATTTAATCAAGCTAAAAATCTTTTGTACAGCTAAGGGTACTACAAACAAAGCAAACAGCCTTTAGAATGGGAGAAGATTTTTGCATGTTAGGACTCTAACAAAGGCCTGATAACTAGAATCTACAGAGAACTCAAATTAAACAGTAAGAAAAGTGCAAACAGGATGGCACCTGTGGTTCATAGGAGTAAGGCACCAGCCCCATATGCCAGACGTGGTGGGTTCAAAGCCAGCCCCAGCCAAAAACTGCAAGGAAAAAAAAAAGAGAAAGAAGAAAAGTGCAAACAACCCTCTCTGTAAGTGGGCAAGAAATTTGAACAGAAACTTCTCCAAGGATGACAGACAAATAGCCAACAAACACATGAAAAAATGCTTACCATCTTTAATCACCAGAGAAATGCAAATCAAAACCACTCTAAGATATCACCTAACCCCAGGAAGATTAGCCCACAAAGTCCCAAAACACCAGATGCTGGCATGGATGTGGAGAGAAGGGAACAATTCTACATTGCTGGTGGGTCTGCAAACTAATACAACCCATTTGGAGAGAAGTATGGAGAATCCTCAAAGATCTAAAAGTAGATCTTCCATTTGACCCTGCAAGCCCATTATTAGGTATCTACCCAGAAGAACAAGAATCATTTTATTACAAAGATATTTTCACTAGAATGTTTATTGCAGCTCAATTCATAATTGCCAAGTTGTGGAAGCAACCTAAGTGCCCATCAACCCATGAATAGTTCAATAAACTGTGGTATATGTAAACCATGGAATATTATTCAGCCATTAATAAAGATGGAGACTTTACATCTTTTACATTTACCTGGATAGAGTTGAAATATATTCTTCTTAGTAAAGTACCACAAAAATGGAAAAATTGGTATTCAATGTACTCCATACTAATACGAAATCAATATATAAACAATTACATGCTCATAAGAATAATAAAACACTAATATAGATAGTCCAGTTCTGGGGTAGAGGGAAGCGGGGGTGGGGGGAGGACGTTTGGCAGAAGGAGGGAGGGCATAAGGCGGGATCTCATCTAATGTTCACATTTTGAGGGTGTATAACATGCCCCCTGGGTGAAGGGCTCTTTTACAAATGGAACTTTACCCTGGAAGTGAGAACAATGTAACCTAAAAATTGTACCATCATATTAATTTAAAAATATGTATATTTTTAAATAAATAAATAATAAAAATCAAAACATCAACAATAAAAAATGCCTGGCTTCTTAAGGGTCATCCTATACTAGCACAGGTCAACCAATGCTTAGTCAAAAGTTATGCTTAAACACCGTAAGCCAGGAAGGCTTTCACCCTTTGCCAGTGGATCTGTCTATGGATTAGGACACATTCACACAAATCTCAGGCAGTCTACAAGTCTGAATTGGCTTCTGTTTTCTGCTGGGCTTCCTCATATCTCCTCTGCACAGGCACTAAGCCTCATATTCAGCCAGGAATGATGAGTAGATAGACCCCTCTCCCTGATCTCGCCTGAGCCTGCACACACCCTTACCCACATGCACAGCCTTGCAGATGACCTGGAGTACGTAAGAGTTTATCAAGTCCTGGCCACTTTGTCTATCTCATTCTTTAGATATCCCTGTTAAATTTCAGCTGGTTTGTGGGTCTGTTGCTTACCACATTTAGTACCACAACCTCAAACTAACTCAAAAAAACTGTTTCCCCTGACATTTTGCCATTGAGACCATTATTGTTTTTAATCAAAACCCTGGATATACACTCTACTCACAATCAAGTCAGGCCCTACTGACAGCAGAACTGCTTGTTTTTATTCTAGCCTGTGCCCAGGCAGAACTACCACACAAATGGAACAGTAGGGGGAGGACAGAAGTAGCCCCAGGATCAAACACCATAGTCTCCC